ATATAACTGTAAATACAAGCAAGCCAGCAGACATTTTCGCGCCGCTGATGACTCTTTGAAGCCACACGGGCCCCCAGTAAAGCGATGCGAATCATCTGGTTAATTAGGTATATCCTATATATATTAATTAGGTAGGGCATCTCGGCGATATACCTAACCTTGTACTTGCTGCTATAGGTTGAATGGCACATACAGGCACGGCACGCACCGTAAACGATCCGATCTAACAAACGCAAATAAAAAGAAATAGCACAATGATAGCTACCATATAGAAAAAATATTGTAGTAATACACTCGTGGGCAGCGCAGCTTTGGCCTGAGTTCTGTCGATCGATTGTTGCCGTTCTTTCTTTCTCGTCTGCTCGTCCGCACAACCCAAACATCTGTATTCAGCATACACAGGCGACACCCAATACCTCAAAGCATTTGGCTGGTGATGCTGCGCACCCGCCTCCCGTACAACTGCAGTGTCCTCCTATTGCTATAGTCGCAGCCACTGTAGTGGAAATCACTCGTACTCTTCTTTGTCGCCCATCGCGTACGTATGGTCTGCTGGTCTTTGTTTATTTAGCAAACACAAAGTGGCCTTTGGTAACGCTACGTAGCAGGCGCGATGCAGGCTAACATCGAACACATTAGATTACGACCAAAGAGGTAAGACTGTTGATCAGCGAACGCCTTATAGCTATCCAGCGTCCAGGTAGTCAGCATCCACGAAACCATCTATCGAGGCCTGCCTGCGAATGAATTCAGCAAGAACCTTCGTAGCGGTCTTGGCAGCGCCGCCGACAATGTCAGCGAATCCTTTGTCGTCCTTACCTTCGACGAAATATCGCGGGCGTAATGATCGTGATTGCCTTAAGCCATTGTTCTTTCTTTGTGAGCAAGTGAATGATTAGTTGTTACCTCGTTGTGTAAGAGGTTATAGGCTGCGACTATACATATACGCAGACACACTGTGTCCATTGTGTGTAGGGCGGGACCACGATGTCTCAGTTATTCATTCGGGCTTGTTATCTCTGGAGCTGTTGGTCCGCGCAGCGTTTGATGGCAGCAAATACAGCACCTACTGTTAAGCATGTTGCGATGTTCAGCTAGCTTTCGAATCGACAGAAATCTGCACCCGCGTAAAGCTGGCGAGCGAGCACTGGAGATTTTTGAAAACTCGAGTTAATCAAGGTAGATCGCGAAGGCAGGCCAAGATCTGAAGGCTGTAACGAGACTGTTTTCCGGCTCATGTCATCGGTTGTGCTTTAACTGAGGGCGCGTATGTCGAGCACTATTTTACTCGAGCACTAACAGAACGGACCGCCTTGTTGCCTCTATTGGCAATCATTGATTTAGCACTGTACCCTCTGATTGCTTTCCTGTTTATCCCAGTGGAGGGTAGCAAGGGGGTGTATTGCCATGTAGTAATCGATGTTCATCCCTCAGGCCACACGTGTCTTATATAATTTTAAAGGTGTCAAGCCTGCAATTCGCTAGATTCTAACACGTTGGCTTCGTCTGGCTTTCAGGCTTCGCGGCTGCGAAGCGGCCTCAGAAATGCTGAGAGCGTATCGCAATAAAATGGACGAGGAGAAGCAATGGGCCAACCAGATGACCATTAAGGTGAATACTATCAAGGAAGTCAAAAGCTCGCGTGATGCGGAACGTGAATACCAACAGGCCTTGGTGAGCTCCACCTGTCTATCACGCTGTTCTAAGATCGACACCGCTCCGACGCGCTTTCAGCTACATCACAAATAATAACCCCGTCATGAAACAGACGTATCATCCACATACACTGCCTAGGACCATTCTATGCATTCGTAGTATGAACGACTAGAATAAAACATCTGCACACACCCAAACATTGATTTACATTTACAAGCTGTCGGTTAGCTCATTGAGGATAACTGAGTCGGGTTGCGACCGATACGCTAGGCAGGTTCCCCATGGATCATATAGTACTCGCTCTGACATAGGACAGCTTCGCTACGTAGACGAGTTTCGTTAATTCTATTGCTATAACCTTCTATCGCAGCGAATATATAGATCTTAGAACATGGTTACATGGCGTATGTGATAGAGGCGAAGCTCGCCAAAATAACTTAACACCAGACGTATGACACGTCTACAACGCCTGTTTCGATAACCGCGTGCAAGTACGACGTACCGCTGAAACATCGTATTCTCACCGAACTAGATAGACATGTGAAATATTAACGGTATAATAACTTCTTAAGTTCAGTATAGAAGACTCTGTCTTTGCTTCAACAAATGACTAAGTGACTCGCTTACGACCAACACTACGGTGTCTAACAAGAGATAATCAATACTACTTTAGGTAAATGCTGTTGCAGGTAATGGCCAGATAACGACAACTTTACCAGGGATTATTAATACTTGGTAACCGAAATTAACGCGCTTATCTTTTGACCCCCTGTTTTTAGTCCCTATTTTCATCGCTCACGGAACGGAAACCCGCCCTCGAGGATCTGAACCTCGTTGGTGGCCGCTACATTCGTGAGGCTAAGGTGTGTCTCGATGTTATTGTTCCATTTCATATCCGTGTTTTCTAGTTCTCGATAGAGTACTGTTTTTGATTGATAGTCTGGCTGTCAATCTCCGGACGAGATGTTCTTCACCCAGCACACTAGCTCCATCTAGAGGAAGACTTCTCGAAGACTCCTGGTACCTACACCTCGGCTGTAACCTTGCATACCCCTGCACAAAATTGAACCCTGCACCGATTAGCTTTCGTGCCATTATTCTTAGCTCTAAAGCATACAGTTCATTAAAATCCTCCCCTCCCTGTACCACAGACTCTTTAGCCCTCACGTATCTTTTAGTATTTGAACAAGTGTATCCTGATCGTTTTCGTGCTTGATTCTTTCCATTGATGATCTGTCTCTTAAAAATAGACGTCCTAGTTTCCTCCCGATTAGCCTAAACCTCGCGAAGCATGCGTTCTTGCACGTCCTATTGCATGCGCCCCTTAATCGTAATCTCTAGAATTTCTCACGAGTATTCCATTTTGAAGACTATTCTATTCGGTAACACTTGCTGTCTGTACTAATCGGAACGGTATCAGTTCAAACATTTCGTAGGCTTGCTATCCCCCCACACGCCATCGCACGAACGTATTCTACCGCTCTATTGCGGACAGGGTTGCCGCTTTGCCTGCCGCGGCGCGCAGATTGCCAAAGGGTTGTTTTGTTGTTAAAGGTCAAATCCTGTACGCTGACGTTTTCGGCGTTTACGGCTTCGGCCGTACAAGAAGTCATTGGCCCCGCAACGAATGACACCCACATATAGATCCATGTAGACGTAATTTTGGCGCAGCGGCAGTCCTGAAGTGCTACTTCGCTCGTTTTCATTGTTATTTTGTTAGCTGTAATAGTAGTACTTGTCGATTTTATCGCATGGCATTTGGTTTTTATCCGTTTTTTTTTTTTTTTTTTTTCTTTTGTATTTATTTGGTGTTTCTGGCCATTTCATAATCGCGCCACTCGTGTCCCAGGTTTAATAGTTGTGACAAATAGTGCTGTCTTTAGACTTCTGCTGTTGGCCAGTGATTTCTTATTGTCATGGACACACAGCTATCATTGTCATTATTGTAGCTGGTATGATGTTGTGATGTAGTATGATTACGGTCATTGATCCTTTCCTATGATATTTATACATCTGTTCCTGCTCCGGCATCTGACAGCGCATGGGCCCGCATGTCCCACGCGAAATTCGTCCGTACATTAAATCACTGAATCAATCATCGAATCACAATTGATTTTTGTATATGCACCTCACACACATCGCATGATCTTCGTTCATTACTTGTTTTATACTATTTGTTCTCATTTGGTTGTATTGTGCACGTCTATATTTGGTAAGGTCGAAAGTGAGGTTGCCACTTTAGCATGGTCACCGTTTCGATCCCCATCGTCTGCATCCTCAAGCATCTTCTGCCTGCACCCATCAAGAACTCTAAATAAGCTTTGCACCAACCGCCGAATCGAACTCGATGAGATTCAACAATCTGCACGATGTTGGTACCAGTCAAGAGTCAGAGAGTCATCGACGAGCCAGCTTCCTGTTCAGGGTCCCCCACCGTCCATTTTACCAACGCAAATCATAAATCGCACTCCTTGTTGACAATTGATCTCCTTTGAACTTCTTCCGGCAGATCTACGATCTCAGGAATAAGAATTACCGGGAAAGTCTCGAGGACGCCCACCCTAGTCTTGATGCTAGTCTGAAACAAAGAAGAGCTCTACCAGGAGCAGATGGTGCCGAGCAGGTCGAGAAGGAGCTTGATCAGGCGAACGCCGAGTATCGGCAAATCGGCGAAAAGCTGAGTCAGCTTCTACAATGTATGCAAAAGTACTTCACCAGCGAAGAACGGCACAAGGTGTGTGTTAGCGTGTTTCAGTTTATGGACTGTGGACCACTGCCGAACCCCTCCCGCAGGCATACTTCCTGTGTTTATCATACGCTAGCACGGTGACAAAATGCCTCGCTTATCAAAACTTACGATCAATATTGAATCAACTCTAGCGTCGTGTTGGCGTATGACATAGCTCAGTTCAGGTAGGCTAGTGGTAATGGCAGTGGTCCTCGACGAGAGAGAACTAAGAGAAAATTTTTGACAAAAGACATCAATCACTCCTTGCGCTACGTAGACAATATCTTACAGTACGCCTTAGGTTAGTATACATAAGTCGTATATATGCAGTCATCATTTGTACTGCTAAGTCTGCTGGTTCATACTGAACAGTAAGAACAGCGGAAAATCTGTTCGCTAGAAGTGTTCAACATGAAGCACCTCTGTCTTTGTTACGTACGAGATCGGCGGCGTTCCCCAGCCTTTGGGAGAATACGACGCTGAGCCGCTGCCACGTGTATGTACGAAAACGTCCGTGTGGCATACAGCGGTCGCGGCTCCGGCGGTTCGAAGACAAAGGGCTTTTGAATGGCCTGTTTTGGGCATGTTCTTCTGTCTCAACCCTGCTCAGATCAGTGCTGATCAACTCGTTAGTGCAGTTTATTCATTATCAGCGACAGCTCACAGTTCGATAATACAATTCAACCGCTACCACATTAGATTCATTCCGTTGCTGGTGAGACTACTAGCTGCCCTACATAAGCTGCTAACGGGCGACCGCGTGTGGAGAAAACGTTGTCTTCAACGGGCTTCACTTTACGTCGACTATAGTTACTTCTCCCTGTCGGTTGCTGAGTCCAGGCGGTTGGTATCTGCTGTCGCCCGCAGACCCGAATGACGCATCGATCAGAACGAGCCATATTCCCAAAAAAGGAAATCTCGCACGTCCTGCGTTTGTTCTCTACCATCCCCTAACGGCCACGAAACAACGGCGCTGATTTTAGATATATTTTGACACAAATAAATATAGATATATTTATGGCGTACGAGAAATGGAACGTGGGTCTGTTGACTAGAAACTCATTTAGTGTATGAAAAGCACGGTAGCGGCGGCGGCGGCGCTCTGATTTGCCGCTTATAGGTTTATAAGTTAGCTGTTACAGGTCCTGCGCTTAGGTAAGTGTGCAACAGATTTTCTTAGAGGAATCCAAGGTGGACTTATTTATGACAGAGGTCACGATCTAACATTTTTGTACAAATATTGGCGGACCAGGAACTTCTACCAAGACAATATATATGTATATAAATGTATTGCTTTTAACAGCTACTACTCTTCGGCTCGATAGATTAATGTAGACCGATAAACGGGGAAATAAGAAGGCGACAAGAGTTGACGACGGAACATGCCGCCATTTTGGTATGGCTAAGTGTGCGTCTGCATTTTATAAAATCTGAAACGAAATTTTATGTCCTCATACAGCCAGTCACGTCAGAATCTTTTACACTTCATATACAACAAGATCTCTCTAAAGCGAAGTCCAATGGACAACAACGCTAAATCGTGTAGACCAGCGCACTGCATCCGACGCCCGAACTGATAACGGCCCTTTTTAGGGGCAGAATTTCGACTACGGTGCATCGCAGTATCTTATACGATCCCAGAAACAAATCGTTGAGACGAACAAGTTTGCCACTCCCGTAGTTGCACCCAGCAGTTCGTCGTTTTAATGGAGGTTTCCGCCGCTAACCAATCAACCAAATCAATATACCCGCCGGCTTTCATATAGATACTTGTACACGACCCATAAATACTAGCGGATCGTCATAGATAAGAAAAAGTTAATTGGTGTAGCAGCATTACGCTTTTTGCTGCTTGAAAGCCGTCAGCTCAAGCTATCTCCGTCGGCGCGGGGAAGAAACTGTCTGTGGGCATTATTATTATTAGTGTTATTATATACCAGAGCGCATTCGGGCAATTGTCGTGGGTGAAGGAATACAGCCTGCGTTTTGTCGCGCCGGCCAGAGTGTTTGACCGGCAAGCGGTGGCAAAGGATTTTTTCCATAGAAAGAATAAGCCCTAATATACTTTTTGTTGATTGAGTTCCACGCATTAGGGAATAGAATAGATACATTTGTTTCTCTCGTCTACAACGACGACAAGAACGGTAGGGATAGTTGGAACGTCACTTGCAGGCCGTTCATTAATGTACTATTATTTAGATAGACTTGACATCAGTTCTTAACTAAGCACATTTCGTATACGTTTGTGCAGACACGTTTTTCATTGCTAGAGCCCGACGCCATTTAACCTGCCCGCGTATGAACTCCTGGTAGCAGCGGCATCTCTCAACCAACTCCCCGCCCGTGTCATCGACTTCGACTGGCCCGTGACGATGAGCTTAGCTTTTCCACGACGTTTTTTTGCGCGCATGTTTTTTCCGGCAACTGCCCACACTGCGGCAAATGTTTTATTATGAGATCCAGCTCCGAAAAACAGCAGCGGTCCTAGAATTGCTTTTGCCTATAGCAACATTCGCGCCGCAAGTCACCGATCGTCCCAGAACTAGCTTAAGTATTGAGATGCTAAACGAACTCCAATTCACATGAACCTGTAAAAATATTCGTTTCTCAGTCCCCCCATTTCCTTTCTGTTGAAATTGATGCAATGAAATGACTACATATTATAGAACACTTTATTCTCTTTGCCTAATTTGCCGCGCGATGTTTATTGTACAGTCTACGCTCTGAGTATTAGGGCAAAGCTGTGACGACGATTCCGTTAGATGGAGACATATAACACTGTTCCTATATATATATATCACTGCGATGTGTTTGCTTGACACGTATCATGTCGCAACCATCACGAGGTCTGAAAGCTGCAGCGGCAGACGATTATGTGTCCGTACTGACCCAAGCTTTCAACCGGATTGAACCTGTTGCTAACAGCATAGGACGCCGCGGATATCGCGCCCAGATACCACGAACCGGCGCCCTGGTCTCTGCCCACGCGCTTGTGGCGCTGCTGGTTTGTTTATTCGTTCATACAACCACGAATCTTTCATCGATCAATATTACTGACTCACAACGTCAGCGTGTGAGGGCATCGCTGTACGTGTGCCACTGCGGATCTGCTGTTATCCTGTTTGAGTGTTTCGCTGTCTGTCAGTGAGATGTGCAAAGGTCTATGCAAGTTTCGCTTGTGTTTGTTGGGGATGGACTGAGAGAGATCCAGTGAGTGTACAGGCAATTTGTTGTCGTCCTTGGCAACGATGATCGGACCAGCTATTTTGCCTGAGATTAGTTGCCGCTGCGACCAATGCTGCCATCACTTCTCTTACCGTTTGTGCTGGTCCTCGCCCACAGGTGGTCCGTGGCCCCGCTGTGAGGGATATCGCAGCAATAGTAACAGCGGCGTCGGCGTTCGACTGATTCTTTCGGTGACTTTCGGAGCAGTGCTGGCACCGTAGCAGGCAAGCGTTGTTGTCTTTTGTGTATTGCCGCTACGGGCAGTGCTCCGTTTGCGCCGACTGACTGTCACACGGAAGTGCTGACTAAGTCACACTGCGCAGTCCTTCACTTTGCCTACGTCCATCGGGCAGGACGTATTTTATTTAGGACTTTCGATGTTACAGCGGCAATAGCAGTACAACTATCAAATCATCACTGCTGATTGACTACAAGCACATCTGTATGGTCCAGATAGCAGCGGTGAACCTAGGCACAATAACGATGCAAAGCGACATATTATCCGTGAAGCCTGAAGATGCTTTGTCATCAGTAGAGCAACACTAACGGTAACATTGCAAAGGCGAAGTAGTAGTAGTAGTAGTGCTAATTATCTCGGAGTTTTTCTACTAGTGATAATAAAGGAATCGTACAGCTTATCAACAAGTGTATTCTAGTGATAACGCGAACATAAACAACGTGTGTGCGTATCAGTAGTAATAATAGTAATAAAAGACAACAGAAAGGCATCGATGTACGTGTTACGTGACGTTTTGTGGTGGTAGACGTAAGTATATAGGCGACACACGAAGCGCATTGGAGTGATTTGATTCTAGCTATCGTTGATGTCATCGACAGCCACTTGTCGTATGCATCTCGGCTGTTCTTTATCTGCGCAACTTTATAGTGTATTTACAGTGCATAGATGGTGAAAAAATCTAACGCTGACAAACATTATTCTTTATGCTAATCTGATCTATTTCTCGTGTTCAACAATACCGTGGTGTGCAGACTGAATCTGAGAGTGGCACAAGGGGAACAGCACAAGTGCTGAGTGCGTATCCTGTGCCAAGTGTTCCGACCATTGTGACTTATAAGCAGCAGTGGGAATTACCTTCCACATACGAACCCGTTGCGTCGAGTTCGACGCAAGCTGACAGACAAGACCAGCAAGCGGAAGAGATGGACTTCGCAGATTCCACTCTGCGGGGCTCCTCATTGACAATAACTGAGCTGAAATCGACAAAGCCTATTAGGGCCCATGAAGACAATCCGACTGCCGACTTCCTCGTCAGGACCGCCCTGAAAGACACGAAAAGTGATCAAAGGGTGCCTCTTAGTGTGGCGTTGAGATGCGGTATCGTTGACTCCAAGTCTGGTAAGTTTGTCGATACGAAGACTGGCAAGCAATACAATCCCAATGAGGCTGTGGAAATCGGCCTAGTCACTCAGCAGTACCTCGATGTACTACAAGCTCCCTGTGGTATCGTTGATACACGAAGTCAGCAGGAGCTAACACTGTTGGATGCGATCCGCTTCAACTTCTACGATCCACATCGGCAGACTCTGCTTGACCCGAAGGGCAATCCAATATCGGTTCAAAAAGCGATACAAACAGGATTACTGAAGAACCCAGACACCATGGTCAAGAAGCTGAAGCTGATTCGAGTGACACGATTCAGCATCACCGAGGCATTCGATGCCGGTCTCATTGATTCTAAAGAAAGCCTAGTTATAGACCCGATGACCGGCGAGACGTATACTATTGATCAGGCTTTTGCACGAAAACTTATTGAGCCTAAAAGGGAGAACGATGAAGGTCTCACATTGACATACGCTCTTGATCGAGGTATGGTTGACGATAAAGGCCGACTCATTGATAACTGTTCCGGCGGCGTGTACGACCTGAACGAAGCGCTCGCACGAGGAGTTCTTTGCTCGGACACACGAGAGGTGGTCAACAAGAAGTCCGGTAAAGTTGTCAGTGTGCCTACAGCTATTCAAGAAGGGCTCCTTAATGTCCGTAATGGCCAGTACGTAGACGAGCAAACAAGAGAAAGACTTCCGCTAGGGGCTGCTCGTAAGCGTGGCTTAATTTCACCGTCACTGACGTTGAAGGACGCGGAGGCTCAAGACCTTCTCGATGAATCAGGAACGATCCTGAACCCGCACACCAAAAAGAGAATCAGCCTTCTCGAGGCTGTGTCACTTGGTTTGCTCGACGCGAACATCAAATGCATTTTGCATCCGATTACTCAGGAAGCAATGTCTTTGACAGAGGCTATGCACCAAGGTATCATTACGCCCGACGGCAAGTTTGTTAATCCAAGGACACATGAAACGATGAGCATTATCAAGGCCGTGCATCGGGGCCTGATCTCGTCTGTTTGCCAGAAAATGATCTTTGAGGTGGAAGGCTTTCAGGACACCAAAACTGGGGACAATGTCAGTTTCAATCAGGCTGTACATCAAGGCATTATTAATATGAAAAACAAAACTTTTAAGGATACGAAATCGAATAGAATTATGACGTTGAAAGAGGCTGTTCACAAGAAACTCATTCTTGAGCAGATATATGAGATGCTGACTAAGTTGATTGGCCTCAAAGATGAGAACGGCGAGGAGATCACCCTTCTAGAGGCAGTGTTCGCTCGTCGTATCGATCATAAAACTGGTCAGGTTCGTCATCCGAAGACATTGATGCCAATTTCACTTCGCGATGCCGTCAAAGACGGCATCATTACCTCCGAAGGAGCTGCGTTGCTTAGAGGGTTGCTTCGCATTACTGTAAGCACGGCAACAGTTACTAAAACGATCACGCGATATGTCACCGTTCAGTCACAGGGCGGCTCTGCTGAAATAGGCATATCATTTCAAGAGGCTGTTGAAAAAGGTCTCATCAACGAAGACAATGCCACGTTCAAGCACCCAAAAACTGGTGAGCTCATTAATTTAGAGGATGCCATCAATGATGGTCTAATCGTCCTATCTGCTGAAAGCACCCGGGACCTGAAGGCTGTACAGGCGATTCTCAGCACAAAGACCAAGACGCGGGTGGTGACGACGGAACGCGAGATGAGAGAAGTGATTGAGAAGACAGGGTCCCGGAGCAGTTCGCTGACCAAGTCCAGCGTTAAGGCAGAATCGAGGATTGAAGTTAGTCCGTCTGGAGAAAGCTCTATCGTGACGACTTTGAAGGGTACACCAAAGTTGCAGGAGATGTCATATCAGTGCTCGTACGAGGAGACCATAGAGACCCCCGACAGAAAACGCCAAACTTCGTCCGCGGAATTTTCTTCGCCCGATTCGGTGTCAAAAAAGGTTTCGGTGAAGGTTGACACAAAGAAGAGAGATGAACCTATGGATGGAAATAAATCCTCAGAGAAAAGATTACCAAGTCCAAACAAAGGCAAAGTTGCTGCTCCCAGTAGCCCGGAGGATAAAGAAATAAAACAAAGCAGCACCGACATGTCAGTAAAGTCAGCATTAGAACCAACGAAATCATCCAAGTCTATTAAGACCGGCAGCCCCACCCGAGAAAGTTCTTCGGCTTCACTTCGATCGAGATCGACGAGCCCCCAAAAATCCACTTCAGTGACAGGGTCTACTACTGTCATTACAACCTCGACTAGCGGTGCCACGCCGAAAACTGAAAAAGCTTTCTTACCTTCGATCGGACCACAGCGAAGTTCAAGTCCATCGAAAACCAATGATAGCTTAACTTGTAAGGCTAATGATACGACTATTCAGAAATCAATAGAAGGCCGATCAGTAACTAAAACATCAAGCCGCAGTAGTAGCCCAACGAAAGCTACGGGCCACGTATCAGTAGAGGTGCATGGTGAGCGTGACACAGACCTTACACAGTTAACAGAACCACGCTTGTCGGAGCATTTCGCGATAATGAAGACAGAAGAACTTTCGTCTGAGTCCACCATAACCACTGCGAAAACGGCTACGACGGTTAGCAGCAAAACCCCAACCACATTATCGACGGATGCCACAACTAGTCGAACGACAGAAGCGGGCAGGGTATCTCCCGGAAAGGCCAGTCCAGAGACCAAGCAGCGCCAGGTCGCGCCTTCAAAACTGTCGACACGCGCTACTTCAGAGACGAGCAGCACGGTTGTCTGTGACATTCCGGCAAGAGGTTGGAGTCTCGAAGATGTACTGACGAGAGATATGCTAGACGTTCACAGCGGCCTGTTAACTCTTCCTGGTACTGACCGAGTTGTCTCACTGGAGGAGACTGTAAAACTACAATTGGTCGATCCCGAATCCGCCGAGGTGACAGACACACGAAGCGGCAAGACCTACAATCTTCTTGAGGCGTTCGAAAAGGGATTGCTCGACCCTACCGGTAATACGCGGATGATGTCTAACAACGTAAGCTTTAAGGAAGCAATTGACTGTGGTATCATTTGCCTCAAGGAGATGAAACAACCTGAGGTCGAGGCGAAAAAGCAGCTACATATCGCAAAACCGGTTCATGGCGAGCCAAGTACCGCCCTAGAGAAGATGAAACAGTTTACTCCATCCACGCCGCTAACCATAATTCGGTATGACGAAAGCGGTCAGGATATTGACCTCGGTATTGCCGTTGAGGCAGGTATCGTAGCTCCCGAGGACGTGCAGATTACGGATTTGCGAACGGGCAAAAATATTTCTCTCAAGGAGGCGATGGCTTCCGGGACGATTGAAGAGAATACCCTCATTTACACGGATAAGCAAAGCAAGAAAAAGATGGGCATACCTGACGCTGTAAAGTTGGGACTGATCGCCGTTTCAGCTCCAGAGGCTCTTGGCGTCGAAATGGTTAAAACCCTAGCCCAGCTCAAGAAAGCGAAAGAAGAGAAGACTCAGAAAACGGTTACATGTACAGAGCCTGTTCGTGCAACTACGGAAACAACAAAGATCGTTCGAAAGGCTGAACTAGTAATCCGCGATGCTGGGTCTGGCAGAGAAATTCCCGTTGACGAAGCTCTTCAGATGGGTATCATTGATAGCGGATTAGCCCAGGAACTTCGCGATTCTGCGAAAACGACTGAACATACGGTGCACACCACTACAACGGTAATGGTTACCGACCCCAACACCGGCGAGTCGATGACACTCACGGACGCCCTTGATAAGGGTGTTCTTTCAAAGGACGCCATCGAAAAGCTCCAGCGCGGAAATGTGTCTGGAGTTGTGACCACCGTTCAGACAGCTTTCGTTCGAGAAGACAAAGGAGCGACGGTCTCATACCAAGAATTTATGACTAAGCCAATGTCGGAAATTACGAAACAGGCGGGCGAAACCAGGCTAACCATTAAGCCGACTGAAGCCATTTCCAAGTTGTCCACAATGGCGGAAGAGGCAATCACCGTTTACCGACAGCCTGTTATGCTGCAAAGAACTAGACGAATACTCTATCCAGCAAACGTTGCTTTCCAGCGAGGCTTCATCGACGCTTCGAGCCGCGACATTTTCGAGGAGGTCATACAAAATAAGGACAAGATGGGACCTATGACGCTATCAGAAGCTATCCGCAAGGGAGTTGTTAAAGACTCAGTAGTCACTGACCCTCTAAGCGGCAAGCAACTTTCGTTGTCCGAGTGTGCTGAGAAAAAGATTGTAGATGACCGCTCGGGACTTCTAGCCATTCCCGTGGGACGGCCTTTGGCCTTAGGCGAAGCTTTACAACAAGGACTAATTGACGTTACAAGTGATAGGATTATCCATCCGGAAACGGGCGCTGACCTCAGCCTTCAGGAGGGAATACTCTGTGATATAGTAGACTATAACTCAGCTGTGTTACATCCTGATGACTCCGAAACGCAACTCTCGGTCAACGAAGCCATCTCTCAAGGCGTCCTTGATAAGCTTTCAGGTGAGTTCTTCACCGCGAAAGGAAGCCGAATTCCGCTGCACGAGGGTGCTGAGAGGTACTCACCAGTGCAACTGGCTGAAAAAAACGCTCCGGGGACGGCAAAGCGAATGCCAAAACTGGCGCTCACGTTTCCTGTAGCACTCGAGCGTGGCCTGATTAAAACTTCAACAAAAGAATTTGCTCATCCAGCAACTGGTATACTAATGCCCGTCAAAGAGGCTATTGAGAAAGGGCTTTTGCTTGACCAACAGATAGCCGTTGTCGAAGATAGTTTTGACGTTGTTCAGGCTCTCGACAGACATCTCATCGATGCCGTCAAGTGTACGGTCCAACACCCAAAGACCGGTAATGAGACGCCTGTACGCGATTCAATGGAAGCCGGCACGCTCCAGCTGAAGCCGGTACCAGCGCGCCCCGTTATGGAATCATCAAGCCAGGTGACGTCATCAAAAATAACCGCCAAGGTAACCACGATTAAAAAGACACTTTCGATCTCACCTGGCTACGAAATGGCATCGAAAGACAGTGTACGTGAGAAATCAACAGGCAAAATCTACCCACTCGACAAAGCAATCGCATTTGGTTTCGTCAAAGTGGAGGCGGAAAGCAAGGATACAAAGCAGACCCTTTCCGATGCAGTGGCTTGTGGCGCCGTCGATTTGGCGCAAGGTACTTACGCCGATCAACTAACCGGAGCGACAATACCAGTGTGCGAAGCACTCAGTAAAGGAGTGCTCGTACAGGATCGCCAACCACATGGAAGCGTAACGTATGCGTTAGCTGAAATCTTCGATTACTATGACTCAAATACGAAGAAATTTATGCTACCGTCCGAGTCGCAGTCGTTGTCGTTTACCGATATCAGGAAGAAAGGTCTTTTAGATGAAACTGCTATGGTGTATCAGTTCAAGACAAAAGCTTGTGTAAGCACACGCGAATTCTTGGACGATCCGAAAAACGGTCGACTAATTGAACAAGGAAAGATCAGCGTGTCTGGCCGTATTGTAGATTTGCAGGATGCGCTAAAACAAGGGCTTGTCGCTACTGTGGCTGCGCCCGCGGTTGCTGCGTACAAAATTGCTCAAAGCACGTCAACTGTCATCAAAAAAGCCGCAGAAAAACGACGCAGCTCTTCGCCGAAAGAGACGCTCGAATCGCCTAGGCGCCACGTATCGAAGCAGGAAGACTCAGCTTCGTTTAGTGAGTACCGCCTCTCGTCACGGCCTGTTAGCCCATCGAAGATATCGGGCGCCGCCGTGAAGGAAATTGCCGAGGTTACCACCACGGTAAAAGCTGGCTCCCCCACAATCAGAACGGTAGAGGTTGCTAGGACAGTAAGTCCAGGTAGAGTAGATTCCACACCGGAATCAGCTACGATGAAGACAAGCAAATTATCGTCTCGTGCAAGCAGTCCTTCAAAGACAGCCAAATCTACAGTTATTGAGGTTTCAGAGGTGACAACAACAGCTAAAAGAGCGTCGCCTTCTACAGCTAGTCCCCAGACATCTAGGACATCTAGCCCAACTAAAATTACTGAGACAGTTGAATACACCTCTCGAGGGTCTTCTTGCACTACTAGTCCGCTGAAGATTGCTGAGGACGCCGAGACTGTCTCTGCGTATGATACACAGGCCAGCAGCGACGTTCAAATGTTGTCTTCAACATCAGAGATATTTCAATCGTCCACCTTTACGACGTCTGCGCTTGAGGAGCCAGCTAGTACTTCTATCCGCTCAAGAAGCCCTTCGCCTCAGAAAACCGTCGTAGACGAAACGTCTCTGAAGAGCGCGTGGCAATCGAAAGAAGAAAGGTCGCATACAAGTGAGACGGTGAAAGTCAAGGGATCCCCATCGACATCGAGACGATTCACTTCACCAACAAAGCCACCTGAAAGGGATACCTCACCTGGAAAGCCCTCACAAAGCACAGCAAAGGTCATCAAAGAGGAAACTCTGATAAAAAAGACAATATCACCTCGAGCTCCATCGCCGGTAAAGGCAACTGAAAGTAAAGTATCTGAAGATACCATGAGCAAGGTTAGGATCACATCGGGTTCGAGGTCATCCTCACCGTCGAAGCGGGGTACCGAACAGCTCCAGGAGACAACGGAGCGTTCCAGTGCTATGACGTCGAAGGTTACTGAGTCCAAAAGCTCAAGCTCACTTACTGAAGTAAAAACATCAAGCCGCGCCACATCGCCTTCAAAAACAACGGTGGACATTACTACAGCCATGTCCAAGGCTACGGAATCGACTGTCAGCCAAACCTATACTAGTGACATGAAATCATCAAGTCGTTCGACATCGCCTTCGAAAAAACCAATGGAGGCTACGCCAACGAGTCTGAAAGGCATCGAGTCACTCATGAGCTCATCAGTGAAAACATCAAGTCGATCTTCATCGCCTTCAAAAAGGGTGGAGAGTGTCACTACCACAAAGCAACAGAAGACAACCGAGTCAGTAACGAGCTCGATGTCGTATTCGGAAATTAAAACGTCGTCTAGTAGGTCATCATCGCCCTCAAAACGAGTAATAGAAGGAGTGTACGAAACTATCCCGAAAAGTGCCACTGCCTCTTCACCGAAAGCCACCGACGTACCCGAGTCGTCGCCCTACGCTGAAGTAAAGATGAGAAGCCGGTCTGCCTCTCCTGCAAAGAAGGTTAGAGAACATGAAAAGGTCGTAGTCGAACGAGTAACTCCGAAAGTGTCGTCAGATACAAAGGCGACGATATCGTACCCTGAGACCAAGACGCCTACTAGCTCTAGTCGTTCATCGTCGCCATCAAAACGCGTGACTGAGGAACGTAGTGAAACGTCCACCGAAAGGAAAACAAGTAGTCGATCGGCGTCACCTGTGAAGAAAATGGAAACAGCAGGAACTCCCTCTCCGAGCCGATCAACACCACCTGTGAAGAAAATGGAAACAGCAGGAACTCCTTCTCCGACCCGGTCGACATCACCTGTGAAGAAAATGGAAACAGCAGGAACTCCTTCTCCGACCCGATTGATGCAACCTTCCCAGGTTATCGTGCAAGAGCATAGAAGCAGCACAGAAAAGACTACGAGCCCAACCAGGGCCAGTGTTAGCGAGGTTGAAACTGTTGAGGAGAAGATATCGTTCTCAAAGGTGGAAACCTCAAGTAGACGATCGCCTTCACCATCAAAACGAATCACTGAGGAGAAATCAGAGGAAATTTCTCCTTCAACTTTAAAATCTGTAGTGTCTGAGGAGATCGAAGAAGTGAAAACGACAAGTCGGTCGCCCGCACCAATCAAGCACTCAAGGGAACAAATATCAGTTTTATCTGATACTAAAAGCTCAAGTCAGCAGAGCTCGAGCTATGTGTCCGAGATTAGAAGTACGACACCGTCATCACCATCAACCTCAAGATCAGCCTCGCCTTCGAAGATTAAAGAAATCGTTCCTGCAAGAGCAGCCCGTTCGCGCTCAATATCGCCATCAAAAACGCAGGTCTCAGTGAAGGAGCACGAATACTCCTTGTCCTCGTCACACAGCTCGCCTACGCGACAAGTTTCGATTGCCAGTGCCCAGGAAATCGAAGACCCACAGTGGCAGAACGTGCGCGAGTCATCAAGCTTTACCGATACCGAAGTTGTGGTCAAGCAGATGTTTACCGAGTTTAAGAAACATTTTGAGGGTGAACTGGTTGTCGGGTCGAAGACCACCGTCGATAAGATCGTGAGCAGTGATGTGCTCGCAGCAAAACACTTTATGATTCGTATACCAGCAACTGGAGTTACAATGAAGCTTGAGGATGCTCTAATGCTCAAGAAGGTTACAGGCAAAAGTAACATCGTTGTGAGGTCGCTCAACGAACTCGTCTTAGCCGAGGATGAGGAAGACAACTACAAGACCGCCATGATTGAACAGGAAAATCGGCTCGAATCGTCGTCACAGCTGAAGCGGGAGTATTACGATTCACATAAGCACATCTTTGTCAAGCCGGGCGGCAGCCAACAGATCAGCTTTGAACAATTTATCAGTTCTTCGAATCTGAGTGATATTCGCATCAAGGATATGAAATCAGACGAATTTGTCAGCCTGCGCGAAGCATTTGAGCGCGGTATCATCGACCGTCAGACTGGCGAGTTCTTTGATCACTCGTCTGGCGCGTCTATGTCATTCTTCGATGCTGCGGATCTATCGTTTGTCACATGGTCACCACAGGGCGCTCAGCGCTCGCGTGTCTCTAGCACGGGTGTCACCTCAGGGTTCCAGTCGCTCTCAGAAGCCATCCGAGGTCTATCCTTTGACGCACAAAAGGTAAAAAAAGATCAAGCGCTGTTTGCCATTGCCACGAATCAGCAAATGAAAAGATGCCTGCTGCAAATGTTTCAACAAGTTGCAATGCTGTTGGGACAAGCTTGGAATGGAGAGTAACACAAATCACACCCAATCTAAATTGTCAAATTATCACTCGTAGCAACGTATGTTAGTATATCTACCTTCTTATTGTTGTTTCCTTAATTCTAGCAGGTGTACAGAACTGTTCTTTCGGCGGAGCTTGCGTGCTCCTCTACGGAACCCTAAGCGGGCATAATTAGTTTCACATCTTATATAATCAGCTCAGCAAAGATACAAGGAAAAAACGAAGCCAGCAAAAAGCTTCTATCTACCCTCTCGTTTTTTTGTCTTGTTTGTCGTCGCACAGCCGTAGTGCTACAGACAAACGAATTGTTTTGTGCTTTTTTGTTTGTTGTGCTAGTCCTTTATTGTTATTGTTGTTGTCATTATTGCTGTTAACGTATGATGCCAGTGTTCTGACGTGTTGAGTTGTGTAGTAATTATTAGTTCGTTGTTCTTCAAGCACAACTCACCACGAGCTCTATGAGCACCTCGAGCAGCTGGGGTAGCCGCCTAGAGTTTTAGCTTAAAAACACATACGCGCACGCAACGTGCTCCCGCTACGAATAAAGAACTAGGGGATCACCTCAACACGGACTGAGCTTCGAGCCTGAACGTAACTCGCTTGTGGAGCTTGACCTCTATTTCAGATCTAACATTTCGGTCGTGCGGTAGCCCGAACCATTGAACCTTATATAAATTTCATGCATGAAACATTTCCAACTAACGAACTAGATCCGTGAAACGGCAAAAACGTTTTGAAGCAACCAATCGAACACAATCTATGCATACTTTTTTCTTGGTCGCATTGTAACGCTTGATAAATGAGTATGAAATTCGTAGAGAGTATAGCGTTCAATTGTCTAGTTCGTTCGCTTCCTTCAATCAGCAGCTTTTATTGCCGACAGCATCGTCAAATTCTCTCTGTAGCTTATTTCTAAAATGTTCGCAGAAATAGTCGCGTTCGTTCAGCCTAATCGGAACCAGTTCCTCATCGTGGTGACACTGTGATTCAATTGTAAACTATTATAGCACTTCAATAAATGCCAGCATTACCTCACGTCCATATATAGTAACGTTGCAGACGGCGACTTGTATAGGACAGCGAAAGGAACGATTTTTCCTTTTCCCCAACCATCAAAGTTTATTTCTTCAGTCCGATTCGCTTTTATCTCTGCGAGAAAGAGCTGAACGCCTCCCACAGTAACAATAACAACAACGATGACGGTGATCCACAATTGCTGAAACAAATAACGTAAAATGACGGACGACCGACGTTGGTCACCGTCCGTCTTACGATCGAGTTAATGGTTGGACGAAGCGCTTCTGTTGGCATCGTCTATTTAACGATCAGCAGCAAGGGAAATAGTCCGATGCTCAATTCGTATCGTTGATCTGGAGGCTTTCGTCCTCAGCAATAGTCCGTGGGCCGTCAGCGACGGGACAAAATTGCACGAGTAGCTACAATAACATGACACACTGGCCAAATATTGCTCACTGAATTCTTTTGCAGTCCTGTTTCATAGGCGACTCGGCCGTGGCTCGGTCGTCTCTTCGAGATGTTTTACTAAGATCTGTTTGCTGGAGCTGTATCTGCGTGTGGCGTGCGAATGAATGTTTGACTGGTTAGGTTGTGTGCCCGAGAGTGCGGGATTTTTCGAAAACTTCCCCTACTAAGCCTTCTCAACTGATAGCGGCTCGTTGGTAATGGATGTTGATCGGTGTACCATGTGCTGTGTTGTCCTAAAGGCTATTCAGTAAAAATAGTTCTCGCTAAGACATCGTCTCGTTATCGCTTTTAGTCTTTTCGTTATTGATTATGCGACGTTGATGTCTGTCATTGTTTGAAAATCGTCCTCGTATCGAAGTAGTCGTTGCCTGTCACACCCGTGTTCCCGTTGTTGACATTGATGTTGGCCTGATTAATACGATAGCGTCATTCTTGCTGCCGTCCTTACTGGCCTCGATATTGTTGTTGTTTACTTTTATGGTTTGTTGTAGCATCGGCCATAACCATCTTGCCGGCCCGAGCTCATGTATCGTCATTGCGGTTCACGATAGTCGTCCTATGACTGTTCGCCATCGTTTTCATTAGTTCTTATCAGATACATAGTAATCACTAGATCTCGTCTATCATTATTATCGTAACGGGGTAGATGCATAGTTTCGGTAGCAGTACGGGATGGAACGTAGACTCGAGCTAGACTGACCTCGACTGTAACTCTTTTGGAAATACTCTAGAGCGATGAAAACTACAATGCAGCGTTTCTCTTCAACTGAATTAATATATGTTTAGTTGTATTTGCTAATCCACATCGCCATATTACCATCATCCGTAAGTGTGAGCAAGGTTCGGACAATCGCCAGTAGACGCTTGCGGAGACGCCGCGCTTCGACTGCCAATATATTACATATCTAAGTGCAATAATACTCTAATGGGACGTACACGTAATATCTACGACTACACACACAAACGATAGCAGGAATTTGTGTTTGCTGAGTTGTACATCTGTCTGGCCTTTTGCTGGCCAAGTATGGAGACACGCTGAAAACGCAGACATGCAATGGAACAACCACAACACATCGAACGGTTCATAGGTGGCTGACGAAACAGTCTATTGATATTAAGCCTATTTGACTTAGCGCGATTTGTTTACGACACTTAGGAACACATGAGGTGGTGGGGTTCGAATCCGGGCGATCTCGTACCGGGAGGGGCTTGTCATCCAACGACCCAAGTATTGAAGCCAAAATTCGACAATTTAGTACTGATTAGAACAAATTATAGAGCATCAATTGTCTAACAACAGCTGTCATGCTCGGGAAAGATCGATAGGTTCGTTCTCAGACGAATTTTCTGTTATGCCCCTGAACGTGATCATCGTCTTCGTTTTTGTAACATCACCAGATTCTCAGATCACAGCAATGCATTGTATCCATCCTACTTGGGTCGCTGTCGTCACGACTTATTTACTTTAGTCGATCAACAGTCAGTCGTCCGGCCAAACCCATCGACGTTTTTCTTCTATTGACAAACAGCCTTTTCGATAGAAAGAACTGTATTCAACTAGCACCACAATTGTTTGTCATAACGATAGTTGAATTTATAGCATTAAGTAAATCTGTAATCTAATTAATGAAACAATAGCAGTAATTATCCGTGCAGTTATTAATAGATAACTGAATCGTTGAGCGCTCGCTTGACATATTGAAAATGCACCTACCTGTAAACATATGCAGAAGAAATTCTGTCATCGACTACTTTCAACTTCTGATATCAACTTCTGATCATCCGATCGATCGATCGTTGCCACTAAAATTAACGCGCTCGGTAATACACCACTATCGTATGCCTAAAACGATCGCGAAGGGAATGTGCGATTGATCTGTAATAAATAACAAAAATAGTATAACAAGAATACACAAAATAAAATTAAAACAATAAAAAAAAATAAACAAAACTGCAACCAGAATAAATAAGCTCATAAATTTATTAATCCTCCTAAAAAAACTAATCCAGTGTGTGAGCTGATGCAGTCCTACTAACACAATGAGAAACATGGAGGAAATGCTTGCCTCCATTCTAGTTCTACCTGTTCTAGATTTGTGCTCCTTTTTTGCATCCGTAGCGATAATACTCGGAATTGTCTCTGGCCTAAGAAAGCAATAGCAAACCTTAAAAACACGTTTACCATCGCTGTTTCTGTAATCAATCCAATTGTTGGCCTTCTCCCAGTGTGAAAAATTAACTGTGGAAAGAAACAGACATGTAGACATTGCTAGAGCTTGCTCCTGGCACAACATTTGTCTTTTTTTCGGTGTATCCTACTGTTATTTGGTTTTAATTATGAAAATTTCCACTCAAATCGACCAGTCAAAGGAGAATTTATCCGAGAGTGAGCCCAGCAAAAAAAATTCGATACCCTGAAATCTTGAGCCCGATTCAAAGCACATCACCTGTGATCTGAACGGGAATCATAGGCCATTTGCCAAACGGGTACTCAGTTGAGATTCTTCAGTCATCAGAAACAGTAACCACCTCTCACAATGCACTCATATAGTTCCATTGATTAGAAACGATCAAGAGAAACCAACCGAGTAATTAATCAACCAGTGTACCAAAAGCACACCGTGTAACGCTCTGCGTGTCTGCGTACCTGTGATAATTTGAGCGTGTCTGCTGAGCGAATGCCGCTAAACTTTTGCTGTCACTTATTTGATCAGAAACTAACTTAGCGTATTTCTATGTATTTGTGCCATGCTGCCGTGTGGGTGTTATTTCCTATGGGGCCTGTGCTTCACAATCGCCAGGCGGCAATGCAGGAGAGGTATCGCGTCAGCGATGAGTCCCTTACAAACCTCGCCGCATGGTTAAGTGAAGTTGAGACAAGGATTGCTAGCCTTGGCGCGCTACACGAGGATGTTAATAGACTGGCACACCAACAGGCGGTCGCCAAGGTAAGTTTGTTACGCTGCGCTGTCTAAATTTGCAGAGGATGTGGAAACAGATAGCTTATGGATAGCTTATTAGTGTTACATTTTGCGTGCGGTCGATGAAATGCAACGTGTAGATTGTACTGTCTGATATGTACAGGTAGTCCCCATATATTCAGGTTGGCAACACACGTATAGCTGACCTGTATCTGTAGCCAGTCAACCAATTAACTGCTACCTTTTAATGAGAATATTTTGAGCGAACTTAATTAAGCAATAGAATACGTTCGCCTAGCGGCAGTACATTAACTGATGTATTGAGAAAATAAGATACTTTGAAGACATCTATCTATATGTGTTCAGAGCTTTGCGCTCGGCTTCAGCGCTTCCACAGACACCCCGTACGTAACTATATCAGACGTAATAGCAACAGCCCGTATTTCTAGACGCATTACATTAGCTCTAGATGAATAGAACTAACGATCCTCAGGTAGAACAACAATAGTGAACTAGTGATGCTTTTTATGCCTACGAGTAGTTGTTACATGAGCGAACCATGTTTGCGTGCTGTCGCATCAAGGACACGGGCAGACAGGCGGCCGAATGCGCTAAGGGTGTGTAAATGAAATTGTTTACATACAGATTCGCATTGGGTAACATTAGTAGCTTATGGATAGGTGGGCGATTGCAAGATGCATCTGTGCAAGCTCAACAGCAGAATCTGGTAACAAAGGCGCATACAATAGAGATGGGGAGCGCTGATGCTACGGTCAGGCCACCTGTATAACGATCATCGTCCATGGACGTCTCTCGGTCGGCCTGCCGACCGAGAGACGTCCATGTGTGATCGTGTACGTGCACTACCGGTGCACTATTCCCCAGAAAGTAATCACAGAACTTTTGAAGCTGGTGTTTATTCGTCTATGCCAGTATAGACACATAGTTAGTTACGCAGGCGACAAAAACAGCTTCACGCACCTAATGTTCACTAACATTCTGTCTAATTACGCTAACTTTTCTGCCAATTTTTCTTTGTTATCATCACAGACTGTTAAAGAGGAACTTGAGATCAATCGTAAGGTGGTCAACCAGGCATTGGATCAAGTTCGCCAGATTTCTAAGGAGGGCGCCGAGCTTCTGTCAGCTTCAGAGATCTCGAATTTGCAACGATCAGCTGAGAGTATTAAGTCGCGCTATGACACGTCTAACGTGAACGCTGATAAGCTGTTGCGCAGGATCGACATGGCGCTCGAGGAGCTCCAGAAATTCTCCGTAAGTATTATTTTTGATGCATACAAATACACGTTCTGCGAAGTTGAAAATAACACTATTGCTTCTATTATTGTTAGTACTGCTAGCAACAAAAATAACCTACCTCTGTCGTTTCTGCTGGCATTGTTTTTTCGACATCACAATTAGCACAGCCACGCACTCACTAGCGCCATCGCAAAATGCATCTTCTTGTTGTCGAGTCGTAAGCTGTTTATACTTTGAAATGTCGCCATCTTTAATTAATGTTTCCCGTCCATGGCATCCAGTCTTACTTGTTCCGTTTCAACTTACCCGGTACTCAAAGTTTTGCGTGTTTCCATGAAGGGCGATGCGCTTGCTGCTTTTCCCCAAGGCTGTGGTGATCAGCACAACTGATGGCATTCTGTTAATTCAGTTTGCGTCAGTTTTTCCGATGAAACTACAGCACAGGTAGACAGCGCAGCCATGCAAGGAAGGCAAAGAGCCGCTGGCTGCACCACTAAGCTTAAGCAGCGAGCGAAGCCAGCCTAACTCTATACTGCAATGATGATGATACACACACCTACGCGATGCTTTGTCGAATATTGACAGCAATAACAGAGTTGGCCTTCGACTCTACACTTGTTTGAATCATTTACAGAACGAGACGCGCACTTTCATCGACTGGCTCAACGCGTCCCAGCGCACACTAGCCGAGTACGAAAAGTACTTGTCAGATGTTAGCAATCTGCGCGACAACATGGACCAGTTCCGTCAGTTTTCGACTGACGTCATATCGCATCAGGCTGACCTTCGCTTTCTCACTATGGCTGCCCAGAAGTTCATGGACGAATCTAAAACTTACCTCCGGCAGTTGAATGAAATCCGGACGGCCCACCCCGACCGCTTGGGCCATATCGAGGCTCTTGAGAGCGAGGTGAAGAGTCAGGTCAATGAGGTGACCAACACTTACCAGATCCTCCTCAATCGAGTAAATAAACTGAGTGACCAGCTCGGCGGCCTCGGGGAACGCAAGCGGAACTATCACGAAACCGTTGAAAAGGCGACAGTCTGGCTCAATGATGCCCAGAAACAGGCCAAGAAGCTGCTCGAGGAGCCTGCCGGCGCAGAACCCCGACAAATTCAAGATCAGCTGGACCGCGTGCGTTCCTTCAACATGGATATCATCCAGCAGGGTCGGCTGATCGACAATGCCCGTCATGCTGGTGAATCTCTTATCGACATGCTCCCAGCAGGCTCCCCGGAGAAGTCTCAGATTCAGGAGACGATTAAGAATCTGCATGACGTCTACCAACAGATGGTCAATCTAATCGGAGAAAAAACGAACGAGTTGCAGGTGGCGCTCATCCACTCACAGGACATTGAGGATGGTCTCAATAGGTTGTTAAAGTGGATGGATGATGTCGAGTCGCAGATCAAGATCCAGTCGCGACCAGCGTCATTAATCCGTGAGCGTCTGGATCAGCAGATTCACGAGCACCGGGTACTTACGCAGGAGATCGAAGGCCAGCGCTCAGTGCTGGAAGCTATGACTCAAACTGCCCAACAGGCGAAACTCGCGAAGAAGGTTGAGCAAAAGCTGCGTGACATGCACTCGCGCTACGACGAAGTGCTCGATAAACTCCGCAAGAATGGTCAAGTTCTTGACGAAGTCTCCCATCAGTTAGACCAGTTCAATAGCCAATGCTCGCGCTTCGAAGACTGGCTATCGCAGCTCATCGACTCGATCGAAGAGGGCGGAGTGGCTAGATCTGCCGAAGAAGTACAGGCGCGCCTCGAAGATGTTATTCGTCGAAAGAATCAGAAGAAGTCGGACTTTGAAGAGGTGATCAGAGCCGGCAGGGAACTTGTTGGACGTAGGGATGTCACCGACACATCTATCATTAAGGATCGTCTACGGCAGCTCGAGCAGCTTTGGAAAGAGATGGACGTACGTCTCACCGAACAGGAAAGGAGCAACCGCCTAAGAATGGAGCAGCTTAGTGCTTACGAGACCCTCCGAGCGAAAGTACTTGAGTGGCTATTGGCAATAGAGAATAAAATCGAACGCCTTGAGCCCGTGTCTCTCGACAAGGACGCCATCAGGAGGCAGGCGATGGAAATAAAGGTAGGCGTTGCATAACCCACTTCATCGCTCATCTCGATATGATCTCGGAGAGGGTAGAACTGAACAGAGCACATTTTCTTAATGACATTTCAAGCTTGTCTTTTCATGTTGACTTTTGTGTTTTTTTTATTAATTTCTTTTGCGACGTGCGACTTCAGCCGCTCATCAAGGAGCACGCTGACTACAGACCGACTATTGACAAGGTTAACGAGCTGGGCCGCATTTACGATTCGCTCATATCCGAGGAACGTGCCAGCAGCCGCATGTCTATCAAGAGCAGCCCCACACGGAGTGAGTACACGGGGCAACAACAACAACAACAACTGAATAGCCACTGCGCCCAGCAAAATGGGCACTCGAATGGTCATGGCCCTCAGCCTCAATCCAATAACAACAGTAGCCATCCGGGTAGACCCATCGCAGGTGGCAAAAACACCTTAGCGCCAGCCGCATTTGCTGACGAGACCTTGCTAACGCCGACGCAACAGCAGCAGCAACAGCAGCATCTGCAACTACATCAACAAGCTTCCACGTTAAATCACAACCCAAACAACTCAGAACGCGTAAACAAAGCTGCCACCCAACCTAAACACCATGCTAACCCAGCCGCGCACGCCAGTTTTATTAAATCAGGTAGACTAGCTAACCTTCTTTGCCTAATTTCGCCTAAACAACAGCCACTGCAATAACTACTGCATCTATTGCTGTTATCCGAAACAACCAAGCCGAAGCTGTTTCAGTTGTTAATAATGAAATTGTAGAAACTATGTTCTCACCTGTTTTCGTTCGGATCCGTTGTCTGATTTGATCGATAGCTCGTCTGTGAGACGGTTTCAGTAAAAGCATCAATCGAGAATCCCAGAACTCGGTTCGGTATGATATTGATGAAAGGTCGATTGGGCCGACTGCAAAACAATTCTGTCACAGTGAAGATTAATTATCGCTCAGCGCTGAGCTAACTAAGTGGCGCGACCAGGTCGCTCTCTGCTAGCGAATCACACTTATATATCCAGCTTCCTTTTTCTTCAGTTAATTTTTGCGCTAATCAACTTACTAATTCGTATGATCGCAAGAAGTTACCAACTTACCTCGATTATGTCCTACTCAGTCCGTTCGTTCGTTACTATTAGTCTAAATAGAACATGCCTTGTTGTCAACTTGACAGTTTGATTTCAACAACTTACCTGCATGCCATCTACCTGTATTGAGTGACGTTATGTTCTCGTTTAAAACAGTACTACTGCTGCTGCTACATTCGGCATTGAAACTCCATACACGATTGGTATAATATACGGTGTTTCAATCAAGGTCTTTCGACACGCTTTTCGTTCGATGTTCCCATCAAGCCGATAATAATCAACAATGCCTCGCTCGACCGCAAAACGTCCTAATCACACATTCACATAAACTTAGCGAGCAATAATTAGCTAGCATATTTCTTAGCTATTGACAAATAAGCGTCCTGCTCACTGCACAACTGCTATAGCACTCACAATGGCCGCTAGGACGGCTTATCTGTTGTACCTTGAGCTATTGACACTCTACGTGCTCACCTAATTTCTCTTTTTCTATCTAACTGAACGAACTTGCCGTTTTCCGCGTCCTGTCTCTGTGTGTGTGTGTTATATATGTCCGTGATGAAAAGAATCTGCCATGATGCCCGAAGTGCGAAGTCCCCTTGCGGAGACTAGCGGTTCGACGAGCGGGTTCAGCAGCCGGCAAAGCTCAGTTGAACAATTCGCATCGATCGAACTCGGTGAGTCTTTCTATTTTGTATCGCGGGTCGATTCGCGATCATGAGCCCCACATCTAAATTCTCAGCCAACTTGAATTTCGGATCCGTTCACCGGCCCAGCGTTGGATAACGCCAGCGATTGCTGGCTACAGCCCGGCCCGACATCGTGGGATCTTCCGATCTGCCTACCTCCACATTTTTGAAACTTGTCCGGAAACTAACTGTCGAATAGAAAAAAACTAGCGAACTATTTGTTTTTATTCCCTCCGTACGTCTCGGAACTACGCATCCATTTTTCGATTTCTTGTTACCGGCATGTCGCAGTTAACAGGTCTGTAGGTTCAGATCACGCTTTTGTACCCTTCGTATCTATGGTTTAACTTATTATAGCCGTTCAGAGTGGCGAACCAAGTGCGGATTATAAAGACCGACTTCAAGCTACGTCAACGTCGGCCGTTTTAGTCTCGCGCTTGACCAAACGAGCTAACAACCCCTGTCATTTCCGCTGATATCACCATCACAATCAGGAATAGTGAACCTAACTACAACTTAACTAGCGACACTTCCAAACCGATGCTGTGGTCCGGTACGAATTTCATGGTTTCTTCGAATTAGTTCACTATCTTCGATATAGATATATGTTTGGACTTAGCAATCCATCAGCATCAGCCCCTTCATACGTAGCGTTCACGTTCGCCAGCGAGTGATCTTGGCTGGTGAACGTGGCGTTCAAATACTTTTCGGTAGCGTTTTTTGCTTTTCTCGTCTTTTGTGTGCAACACCGCATGTTATAGCAGAACATCCGTCGTAGCTGAATTTCCTTAATACTGTCGGACGTTTAGGCCGTCATTAACAACTGCACGTTGCGCTAATGAAGATAAAACATTATGATCCATAAATTTGGGTAAGTTTCCGCACAAGGAGCCGCTTTCCATACACAATAGGACCTTCTAACGCGCGTGCGTTCCACCATTGTGCGTTCTTCAACCAGATGTAAGTCCAGTGCAACAACAGCTGAGCGAAATCAACCACCGTTATCAAATTATCGGGGTGAAGCTCTCTGACAGACAGAGGGATCTGGACGGACTTGCCGATGAGGTCAAGAGGCACCACGACACCATGAAGTCTCTTTCGGCCTTTGTGCAAACTAAGGTATTACTACTTCTACTTTTAACACTATAGATAATGATAATGTTATCCACTTCCTTCCTGTGATACGGCATCTGTTTTTGATGTATGATAGATTGCTTTATTACTCATTGGGCGATACAGTGCACATATATGTCGGAAACTTAGTTAATAATCCATTTTCTTTATTAAATAGGAGCGCCAGTTGCCCAAGGACGTGTCACCCGCCTCTAAAGAACTTGCCGATAAGCAATACTCCGTCTTGAAGGAGATTCAAAATGACTTGGCGGACCGTCAGAATGAGATGGACCGAGTCAAGATCGAAGTTACTGACCTGTTGCGTAGAAAACCCAATGCGATTGGCGCAGACAGTCTTCAGCACTCGCTCCACGAGCTTGTTAGCAAATGGTCCACCCTGCAATCCCAGATCAGGGATCAACTTGCACTTCTCAATGACTTTAGGGACTTCCAAGATACCCATAAGCTCTTGGATAACTGGCTGAATCAAAAGGATAAAATGTTTCAAGTTCTAGGTGGGTATTTTGCTGAGCCTTAGAATCGCTCCTTTTCGGCTGATCGTTTGATTTACTGAAGAAATGGTTAACATCAATTATAACAGTCATTTAGTCTATATTAGGAGTACCTTCCCTGTCACCTTCCAGAGCTAGTGTGACAGCATATTAAGTATTTTTTTTATTAAGTCTTATTATTTTGATATTAGATACCTTTGAGTATTTCGTTGAGCTCGTAAATTTAACTCGTTTGTATCTCTTTATAGGCCCCATCGCTCATGAACCACGTATGATTACCGCCCAAATGCAACAGGTGCACGTGATGCGCGACGAGTTTACCTCACAGGAGCCTCTTATGCGCAGGATGAACCAGTCCGGAAACGAGATTTGCTCAAAAATGGGCTCGGCGAACCCTGCTGCTAGGAAGGTCAAGGAGGGTATGGACGATATCCGCAAGAGGTGGGACGAGCTTTTGGGTCGTCTGGAGGAACGCGAAAGAAACCTAGATGCAGCGACAGGGGCCACCCAAGAATTCCATCAGGCCATCAACAAGCTTCAAGATTTTCTGCAGAATATCAGTGACAACTTTGATCGCTTGGGTGATGACGGCGCTGATATCCATGATCAACTGCGGCGACTCGCTGGTCTCGAGGATGATCTCGAACGACAGCGCCCTCTACTGGCCGAGGTGGAAAGTATGTGCGATCACCTCTGTGATATCTTGAGTGATCCCGCTTCAAAGAGCGAAATTAAAAGCAAGTTCGCTGCTGCTGACCGCCTGTACAATAACCTTAACCGAAAGCTGAGTAACCGACGCGCTGAGCTTGAGAACTCGCTCAAGGAAGACCGCGAGTTTGTAGCGAGCCTCAAAGAGGCCCAGGACTGGTTCGATGAAATTGAACACAAGCTGTCGGCTGACTTCAGAATTTCTGCTGACGAGCATATCCTACGCCAGCAGATCGAGCGTTATGAGCCCGTCTACCGTGAAGTTTTGGACAAGGAACACGAGGTTCATATTCTCCTCTCAAAAGGTAATGAGATCATCCAGAAATTGGGCCGTAACAAGCCTGAAGCTCAGCAGCTGAAGGCAAAGATGGATAACATGCGCAAGAACTGGGAGAAGATCAAGCGCGAGGCGACTGAAAGGCACACTCGACTGCAGACAGCGATGGAGAATTGCAAAAGGTTCTACTCGGTCCTCAATAAGTTTGGTCCTTGGCTGCAAGGCACTGAAGCTAAATTTAATGAACTAAAACCACCTTCATACCACCGCGCCGATCTAGACAAACAAATCCGTGAAATTCAGACATTCAAAAACGAAATGTCCCGTCACGCCATTGACTTCGATAACGTGCGTAGTATTGGAGACGTTTTCCTGGGCTGCACGGACATTGATAAGGAGAAAGTTCGCGACGACCTAGACAACCTTCAGAGAAGATGGAACGAGCTGAGTAAGACTATAATGAACCGTGCCCAAGACCTTGACGATATTGCAGCTCGTCTTGGCGAATTTAACGACAAGGCCCGCGACGTAGGACATACCCTTCAACGCATGGAGGATCGTGCAGCGTCGCACGATGATGGCGTACGCGATGCCCGCACACTCGAAAAGATGAAGAGTCTTCTTCGCGAGACACAGGAATTCCATAAGGATCTTAACCGTCTGCGTGCATACGGTGAGTCCCTGATCAACGGCGCACCAATCGGCTGCGATACGCGTCACATTTCGGATACTATGGATGAATTAGAGCGTCGTCACCGTGAGCTCACACACAGACTTGAAGATAAGTGTCACGAGCTCGACGCTGCCGCCGGAGTTATGACCCAATTCAACAACAAACTCAAATCTGTCCAAACCAACTTCGGTCATCTCGAGGACGAATTTAGTGAGTTCGGTCCAGTTGGCCGCGATCTTCGTATTCTAAACATCCAGATGACCGAAGTTAGAACATTCAAGGATAAGCTGCATAGAGCTGATGAAGAGCTTAAGGAAGCGGAGCGCGAAGCCCGCGACGTCATTGCTCAGGGCTACACCCAAGACGCAAAGGGTCTAAGAACTCAACTGGATAACTTGAAGAAGCAACTAAGTCGCCTCAACGAAAAAGCCAATAAACGCGAGTCTGGCATCGAAGCTATGCTGGAAAAACTAACGAAATTCTACGACGATCTCGGCGATGTACAGCGCAGCCTTAACGACGCATCCAACGAGGAAAGAAACTTCCGTCCCGTAGGCGCTGACGTTGAGACTATTCGGCAACAACAGGAAGAATTTAAGCACTTCCGTCGCAACCTCGTTGAACCGCTTGGCAAAGCCATTGAGGAGATCAACCGCATCGGCCAAGGTCTAATTCAATCGGCACCCGCCGGCGTAAACACTGTCCAACTAGAAAGCGATATCGAAAAACTCAACAGTGAATGGAATCTACTTAAGGAGCGTATGAATGAAAGGGAACGCACGCTCGATGCGGCCCTACTTCACTCCGGAAAATTCCAAGAGGCTTTGGCTAGTGTAGAGAAATGGCTCCAGGAAACGGAGGAGATGGCTTCTAATCAGAAACCACCATCGGGAGATTATAAGGTAGTCAAGGCCCAACTGCAGGAACAGAAGTTCCTTATCCGCCTGATCCAGGATAGACACAGCAACATCAATTCGCTTATGCGAATGGGCGAGGATGTCATGAAAAATGTCGCCCCTGCAGAACGCTCGAATATCCAGAACACGCTTGAAGATATCCGTGAGAGATATGACAAACTTCACAGCGGAGCCAAGAGGCGTATGGATGCTCTGGAAAGAACGCTGCCCGTTGCCAAATCGTTCCAGGATAAGATGGCTCCATTGGTAGACTGGTTAGACCATGCAGAGAAGAAGCTCACATCCATGCAGACCATCCCTACCGATGCTAACAGGGCCGCTCAACGTGCCCAGGAACACAAAAACTTCCATAGGGATATTCTAGATCATAAGCGAGACTTCGAAGAGCTCACCGAGATTGCTCAAACCCTTATGAGTCTCGTGGGAGATGAAGAAGCTCGAACAGTTGTAGATAGTATGCGAGAACTGACCGACCGTTATACTAGGCTCGTGGAAGAGTCTGAGCGGTTGGAGGATATGCTTCGTAATGCTAAAGAGGGTAAGCAACCTTTGTTATGCCGACAGCGATCTATTAGAGACTAAAAATTTGTTTTTAAAAAGTACTAAAATAATGTATTACTATTATAGAGAATCACAAACTACTGGGTTTGTATTTAAATCTACAAAAACATACATATACCTTGCGAATTTGTTCAGGAATCCGTGCATTCTCTGAGAACTATGACGAGCTACTCAGCTGGATAAGCGAGATGGAACGCCGCCTGCAGCGCTATCAGATTCTAAGCGTGTACCCGGAAAAGCTTCAACAGCAACTCGAAGAGCTTACTGAGCTTGGCGAGGACATTGCTGATCACCAGCGACAAGTAGATCAAGTCGTGTCAGCCGGACAAGACATGATGCGGTTCGCCACTGGAGACGATGCTTTCAACCTGAAGGATCGCCTTGACAATCTGCAAGCACGCTACAATGACCTTGCAAGCAAAGCGGCTGAAAGAGTTCGTCAAGCACAGGAGGCTCTACCAATTGCGCAAAATTTCCACCAGAATCACGAGAAGGTCTCCAACTGGATTGATGAAGCTGAGACCGTCCTCAAATCGGTTGAAGGTGCTGGTCTAAACGCGCAGGAAAGTGCCATTCATCGACTGGAACAAGATATTTCGCAGGTTCGCAAAATTATTGAGGTTGTGAATCACCTTGGGCCGCAGCTCTGCCAATTGTCGCCAGGTGAAGGAGCAAATGTTATCGAATCGATGATGACTCGACTTAATAGGCGTTTCGATGCCATCTGTGAGCAGATTCAACGGAAGGCTGAACGTATCGAATTATCCAAGCAACGTAATAGCGAAGTCATTGGCGATCTCGACAAAATTAATGACTGGTTTAGAGATCTGGAGAAGCAGCTGCAGCATGCAGAACCCATCATCCCAGATCCGGACGCCCTCAGCGCCATGCTCAAGGAGCACAAGGCAATCTGCGAGGATGTCAGCAGCCAGAAGGGTCGCGTTAGAGATCTGCTGGCGGCTGCCAAGAAGCTCATGCGCGAATCGACAGGCGAAGACCAATCCTTTATTAGGGACAAGGCTGAAAATCTTAAAGACATATCAAATCGCGTATCGCAGATGTGCGCTGACCGTCTTAGCGCACTGGAACAGGCTCTGCCTCTTGCCGAGCATTTCTTCGACACGCACGCTGAGCTAGTTCAATGGCTCGAGGAGATGGAAACCGAGGCTGAACTGCTTGGCGCGCCTGCCCTTAACCCTGCTCAGATCAAGAAACAGCAAGATAAGAACAAAGCATTATTGCAATCTATGAGCGATCACAAGCCATTGTTGGACAAACTGAATAAAACGGGCGCGGCCCTTATCAAGCTCGTGCCAATGGAGGAAGGCCGCAAGGTACAGTACATCATGAATCAGGACAATCAACGTTACAACGATCTCAGGAACCTGCTTAAAAACCAGCAGCAGGCACTGGAAGAAGCGATGCAGTCAACTGCGCAGTTCGCTGATAAACTGGACGGTATGTTGAACGCACTCGCTAGCACTGCTGACCAGTTGAACAACGCTGAGCCGATCTCGGCGCACGTCGAAAAAATCCAGGAACAAATCTCAGACAACAACGCCATCGTGGACGACCTTGAAAAGAAGTCGTCGGCTCTTGACGCCGTGCGCAGGGCTGCTAAGGACGTTATATCCAAGGCTGACGGAGATGAGCCTGCTGTGCGAGACATCAAGAAGAAGCTCGCAAAACTGAACGATCTTTGGGAGGAAATCCAGGGGCTTGCCAGCAAACGTGGGAGGTCCCTGAATGACGCTTTATCTGCGGCAGAAAGATTCTGGGATGAACTCAATGCCGTCATGAGAGCTCTTAAGGAATTGCAGGATAACATTAACGCCCAGGAGCCACCGGCGGTCGAGCCCAGCGCTATTCAACAGCAGCAGGAGGTACTTCAAGAGATCCGCGAAGAGATCGGCAACACAAAACCAGAGGTTGACCAGTGTAAACAAGCCGGTACCGACCTCATGAGGCTCTGTGGTGAGCCAGATAAGCCCGAAGTGAAAAAACACATCGAAGATTTAGACCAAGCCTGGCAAAACGTAATGACTCTCTACGCGAAACGTGAACAGAGTCTTGCAGATGCACTTTCGAAAGCAATGGGATTCCACAACACCCTGCAGGATTTGCTCGAGTTCCTCGACTCTGCCGAAGAGCGGTATAGCAAGTTGGGTCCCATTGCCTCCGATATCGCCACCGTTAAGCACCAGATTGCAGACCTCAAGGACTTCAAAGACGATGTGGATCCCCATATGGTACAAGTGGAGGCCCTGAATCGGCAAGCCAAGGAACTCACCGAACGCACCACCCCTGACCAGGCCAGGCCTATACGAGAAGCCCTCAAAGATATCAACAAGAGATGGGCTGCTCTCAACAAGGGCATAGTGGATCGCCAGAAGGAGCTCGAGAATGCTCTTCTAAGGCTAGGACAATTCCAACACGCCCTAAACGAGCTTCTTACCTGGATCAACAAAACCGATCGTCAGCTGGAGGACGTCAAGATCGTCGTTGGCGATCCTCAGGTCATCGAGGTTGAATTGGCTAAACACAAGGTACTTATGAACGACATACAAGCTCATCAGTCCACAGTTGACTCCCTGAACAAGGCTGGACACCAGCTCATCGAGCTGGACCGCTCAAGCCGAGATGCCGGAGAAACCCAATCCAAGCTTGCGAACCTCAATGCTAGATGGCAGTCGCTTCAGGACAAGGCCAACGATAAGCAGAGACAGCTTGAGGCGGCGTTGCGTGAAGCACAGCTGTTTAGCCAGGAGATCCAAGATCTCCTTATGTGGCTGAGCGACGTGGACCAACAGCTAGCATCCTCCAAGCCTGTCGGAGGACTTCCGGAAACCGCTAGGGAGCAACTTAATCGTTTTATGGAGCTGTATAACGAAATCGACAGCAACCGCCACAAGGTGGAGAACACCCTGTCACAAGGTGCAGACTTCGTAAGACGCTCCGATGGTTCTGCAACGAATCTCCAACACAGTCTAAAGACGCTGAAATCTAGATGGGATACTGTATTGCAGAAGGCAAACGATAGAAAGATTAAGTTGGAGATTGCCCTCAGGGAGGCAACAGAATTCCATGAGGCACTTCAACAGTTCGTCGACTGGCTTACCGACAGCGAAAAATATCTGAGCAATCTCAAGCCCGTATCGCGACTCTTGCCTAGCGTACTCGATCAGATCGAAGAGCATAAAAACTTCCAGAAAGATGTCTCTGCCCACCGTGAGGTAATGCTGAATCTTGATAAAAAGGGAACCCATCTTAAATACTTCAGCCAGAAACAGGACGTTATTCTCATTAAAAATTTGCTTGTAAGTGTCCAGCATCGTTGGGAACGCGTGGTATCGAAGGCAGCCGAACGCACCCGTGCTCTGGACCACGGCTACAAAGAAGCCAAGGAGTTCCATGACTCCTACGAGGCCCTCGACAAGTGGCTCACCGAGGCTGAGCATACCATTGAAGACCTCGCAAACGTCGGGAACGACCCAGAGAAAATTAAGAGAACCCTGTCTAAGCACAAAGAGTTCCAAAGAGCGCTAGCAGGAAAGCAGGCTACCTACGATGCTACGATGAGAGCGGGTCGTCTGCTTAAGGACAAAGCACCGAAACAGGATGTGCCAACTCTGCAAAAGATGCTTGATGACCTCAAAGACAAATGGAACCGCGTATGCGCCAAGGCTGTCGATAAACAGCGCAAGCTAGAGGAGGCACTGCTGTTCTCTGGCCAGTTCAAGGACGCGGTGCAGGCCCTCATCGATTGGCTTGACAAGTCCATTCCCACACTTGATCCCAACGAGCGGGTGCATGGAGACCTCGATACTGTCAACAATCTCATTGAACAGCACAAGCAGTTTCAGGCTGACCTCAAAAACCGCCAGGCCAACCTCGAGTCCGTCCGTAAGACCTGCCGAGAGTTGCTGCGCACTGCTTCGGCTGAAGATGCAGCTCACATCAGGTACGTCAACAATGTAAATTTTAGTTCAACTATTCTCATATATAACATACATAATATTTACCTATTTGTTATACTTGCATTTAACTATAGTTTATGTCAACTTATCATGCATAATAAAATATGAATAAATTAATTAATAAATAAAAAATAAGAAATAGTAATAAAATATTAAGCTACATTCTACAGATATGTTAAAAAACTGTTGGTGAAATTATTTGATGCATTATAGGCAGCAGATGTCTGACCTGGAGTCGAAATGGGAAAACGTTATGACGTTATCTAACCAGAAACAACGTCGACTGGATGACGCGCTACGCCAGGCAGAGCAGCTGCACAAATCCGTACACATGCTACTGGAGTGGTTGAGCGACGCCGAGATGAAGCTCCGTTTCGCTGGTCCACTGCCCGACGACGAGGCCACCTGCCGTCAACAAATAGCCGAACACCAGCGATTCATGAAAGAGATGGAGCAGCAGGGTCACAACAAGGAAAAAACAATCGCGCTTGCTCACGAAATACTTCAGAAGTGTCATCCAGATGCTGTTAGCGTCATTCGACACTGGATCACCATTATTCAATCCCGCTGGGACGAAGTGTCCCAGTGGGCCAAGCAACGCCTGCAAAAGCTTGAGGATCACCTCCGCGGCCTTCGCGATATTCTAGATCTACTGGAAGAACTCATGAGGTGGCTATTGGGAGCAGAAGCTACGCTCACGGCCCTTGAAGCCCAGCCGCTGCCGGACGATATTCCGGCTACCGAACAGCTGATCGATGACCACAAGATCTTCATGGACGATATGTCACGTCGCCAACCTGACGTAGATCGTATCGCTAAAGCTTTTACGACCAAGGTCGCGCCGCAGCCCACATCAAAGACGCCAGCTGGCCGGAGCTCGCGAGGCCCGCACATACGCGCAGGCACGCCGGGCCGCGCAGGAACGCCCACTAAGGGCGCTGCCGGCGAGACCGGGGGCACGATCACGAACCCGCGTGCTCGCGAACTCATGGACAAGTGGCAGAGCGTCTGGCTGATGGCGCTCGAACGCCAAAAGCGTCTACAGGACCACTTGAAGTATCTGAGGGAACTCGAAGGCATCCGAAACTTCGACTTTGATGAGTGGCGACGCAGGTTCCTTGCCTGGCTCAACGCTAAGAAGATGCGCGCTATGGACGCCTTTAGGAAGATTGACAAGGATAATGACGGCAAGGTCACCAAGCAGGACTTTATCGATGGCATTATCGAGTCAAGTAAGCCGATCATCGTTTTAAATAACCTCACTATTAGCAAAGCTCTAGTGATGTTGATATATATATATATATATCATCATACATCTGTTCAGGAAATCTACAGAGGCTAATGACGAGATACTTAAAAAAACGATACTTTATATGTTTGTATGCAATATTTCGCTTCCATGAACAAATAGGGTTCCCCACCAGCCGTTTAGAAATGGAACGCGTGGCAGACATCTTCGATAGGAATGGCGACGGTTACGTTGACCACAAGGAATATATCGACACCCTCAGGCCGGACCGCGATGTACGTTTTCTTTGTCTATTTCGATATCATAGCCTTTACGATGCTCTCTACTTATCTACCAGAAATGATTCTTCATTAATTATATTACGCAGTAGTCCGTGAACTATTTTGCCGTGTACGATTTCTTAGAATAGGTGTCCAACGTGCTATTTTTGCTCACGTCTCTTCTTCGTTTTCATTTTTAATGTCAAGATTTGTCTTAGATCTCTTATCTTTACCCGTGTGAAGGTCAAATCTGTAGATCACTATAGCATCGAAGTATCGAATTTAATAACAGAGCGGACGCAGTATGATTAAATTTGGTAATCATAATAATAAGCATGTAAAATTTGCATAGTATATGTTTTGTTACCGTGCATGATGATCTACAGACGATAATGGTAATCTTGGTTACTTGTTGTTAATCGATGGTGAGGTGTTTTATGATCACTATTGCTAGTATCGTCACTATTATTGGTATAACTGGGGGCATTTTATCAGCTGTCTAGTCTAACGGTGTTATCCTTTTTAATTCGACCTGTAAGCAATGTGCGGTGCATGGTCCACGAACGGTAAGTGTGTGTCGAGGAGGTTCGAGGGGCCACTTTTGCACCAGCCATTGGCGCTCGCACTGCACATTCTTTATATAGTCCATCTTGCTTCTCTGAGCTTATTTCGAGCTAGCAAAATGATCTGATGCTAGCTTGGTTAAAATTTTCTATGTTTTCCTCCATCCTTATTAGGCTTGTTCCTCATCTTCCAAATTTTTCCCACCCTACTATCCCACACGCCTTTCTAGAACAAATGAGTAACTTTGACTTCGGGCAAAACAACGTCCTTGCACATACTGTAAAGTCTAACCGGCATCGCACCCCATATTTGCAAGCTTCTGCCGATTTCTGAGTTCATGTCTACCCCACTTAGCCCTCTAGTCGAACGCTTGTGTCGATGAGTGATTTTCAACTTTTCAGTGAAACGTTGGTTGATTCGATGTTTTTTTTTTTTTTCCTATTTCTGTGTATGGGTATGTGTGTGCGTGTGTGTCCTGTTATGTTTTATAACATAGTTTATTGTCGTCGTGTCGACAGGACAATTGGATCATTATAGATGACGTTTTCTCAAAATCGACTATCAGACATTATTTATCTTCGTTTATGAAATCGACCGTTGAATGATCGTTTCACCAGCTTAGGCTCTAAATGCTGCAAAACATATTTATGCCTAAATGAATAAGCGGTCGTTGTTTGATGCTGTGCGTCTTGCCCATTGTACTTACATATCGAATTATGGTCCACAGAATCGCCCACTGACTGAGGCAGAGAAAATCCAGGACGAGGTGCAGAGACAGGTCGCCAAGTGTACCTGCGTCCACCGCTTCAAAGTCTTCCAAGTTGGAGAAGGCAAATATAGAGTACGTAACCTAAAAATAGTGTCTTTCTCGTTGTTGCCAATACGTTTACCTTCTGCAGATCGGCTACAGTGAAAACCGGAACGAGCGTTGTCCGTTATATAGCTGATGATTGCTAGTTATGGGTCACGTAAGTGTGCTAACACGATGTTTCATTTCTTGTTTATAGTTCGGAGAATCTCAGAAACTTCGTCTTGTGCGGATCCTTCGTTCCACTGTCATGGTGCGAGTCGGAGGAGGCTGGGTCGCTCTCGAGGAGTTTCTCGTTAAGAACGACCCTTGCAGAGGTGAGTGACTTAAACTTCATTCATCAAAAAAATAATTTCTTTAGCCAGTGTCCCAGTGCGCAAAACCATAACGATTATGTCCTAAAAATTATCTGTTTACCTGTCACCTATGAAATCTGTGCTGTTTGAGCTCACAGATCATCATTGTTTGGATATGTGCGCTAATGGTGTTCAGTTTTCATAGCTAGGTACGTCAATCAGATACCCATCGGCTGGCTACGAAGCAATAGTTATTACAAAAAGAAATTAGAGAAGACGACAGTCTGTATTCTGTCGCACAGCAAAAGTCGGCATCAATTCAGCGAGCAGTGCACAAAATCATCCATTAGAAAAAAGCGGTTACGGTACCTCAAAGTTCACTTGGTGAAGGGCAGTTATCGTGTTTCACTGACGGTGACGAATCATGCTCACGTACTATATGTTCTTTTCATCTCATCCTTGTCTACCTACCTGGTAATTTCCTTTGCCGTGATCTAACACGCTCGAACAAAATAAAGATGTCGCAGGCAATCGCGAAGGCGCGTTGCTATTAACCAAGCTCATCATTGAGCGATACCAATCTGTAACCAAACCGTTTGCTCTTCAAGTGCCCCATAGTGAGTTGCCTTCTGAAATGAACCCATCACCTCGAAGAAATGACTCTCACATGTAATTCTACGTCGCACCACCGAGAGGCAAAAATTAAGTAAGGCCATGGCCTCTCTCTATATGTCAACAGATCCATATACCTACATCCACAAACAGACGACTACTTTATTAGTAACAATATCAGCACAGCTAGAGAATCATAGTATTAAACCTGTTAATCGTACTTCATCTAAGTTGAATGGCTTGAATACCTCACCGAGGCCTAAATGTTGCCCTTATTGACACATGCATTTAGCGCTGGCCACGGCAACCAATGACTTTTCCCGTTGTAATCAATGGACATCAAAGGTCCAACGACAGGCTGGTCTGTCGAAACTTTGTCGATCAATTTTTAACGAACGGGTTTTGAGTGTAGCGCCACAAATCGGCTGACCATGGTACAATCAACGAGAGAAAATAAGAGCAATGATAAGAACTACAACAAATCTAGACGAAGTACAACGAACTCACGCTATTACGGACGGCACACATACATCGACATCTACGCGGTCACATAATAGACTTAAACACAGTTACACCGCGGGTCCTATCGTTATGTTTGCGGTTCGGACCGTAGCGTTGTTCGTTTATCGCGATCAATAAAGATTGGCCCGTGTGTGTATTGCACTGTACGACGATAGGCATACTCGCTATGTTTGTTTTGTTCCTTTGTGACAGCTTCCCCTCCTCGGAAATGATTCCGTCGTACGTATCGAGCGTTCCTTTGTTTTGTTGCTACTAGTATTGATAATTTTTCATGTTTTTGCCTAACTTCAATGATTTTGAGTCCTATTATTACGGAAACAGATAAATGTAATAATAATAGATGGCATCTGCATCCCCTTCGGCTATACGTAGGGTTGCTCCTCTTTAACCTATTTGTCGACAGCATCCCAATTGTTAAATTAAAATCCAACTATAATTAGCTTGCTTCTGAGCGTGTTTGCTAAGAAACGTTTCATTGACCGTCCTGCTACAGATATTCTGTAACTCACAGTTGTTGTTTAGCTGTTTCTGATAAGACTCATGAATCGTTTCGAGAGTTTCACCATTGATACGTTTGAATATCTTTGTAGTTTCTGCTAATTGCGATACGCGAGCATCGCAAGTACAATGCAATGTTTATGATGTTATTATTTCTGTTATAATATCACGTACTTTTGGATCAAGTTTGATCTTTATGGCAACGAGTAACCTTACTTTGTCTTGTGGTCCAAGCACTTGGTTTTTGTTATGATAACACGACGATGCGTCTGCTCATCGTAGTCATTAGACTGGAGTGCATGATATTTTTTTGACGGCGTGTGTTGCACGTTTCTAAATCCCTCCCTCTACCCCAATTCCCATGCACGACGTGCATCTTACACAGCCAAGGGTCGCACGAACGTGGAGCTGCGAGAGCAGTTCATCCTGGCCGATGGAGTCAGTCAATCGATGGCCGCATTCAAGAGCAAGGGTCCTTCGTCGTTCGGCAAGGGTCCTGGCGGTTTGCCGACCCAGGGGCCGATCACCAAGGTGGGTCAAATCGCCTTGCCTGTTTGCAACGCCATGCAGGCAGGCAGGCAGGCAGGCAGGCAGGCAGACAGGCAGCAGTATAGGCGATTGAAAATGTACTGACTGATTTGCAACACAGCAGTAATTCGCCACTAACCTAACTCATATCCCGCATGATACTGTAATATGTAAACTAAATAGTCACATCCCACGTGCACAGCACTTATAGCACAAACCTATCGTATGCTGAACTCGCTCAATAAATGCGTCAGACTTGTTCTACACGCCATACTTTCTGGTGACAGTAATATGGCCATTGTGGGACAAATAGCTAGAATTATATATCTAAGCATCACGGAAGTCTTGTATTGTTCTCAGTAGATATAGTTGTCTAGCAAAAGATTAAGTGGCCTTGTATTTAGTTCATGTCGTTCGCTACGTTAACGCTTTTGATGGTAATCCAAGCTTGCTTTTGTTTGTTTAGACCAACTATCTAGGTTACCTCTCAGCCCGGCGTATTTTCGGTCGGTAAGTGGCCGTTGAATAAGTATTAAAACGGGTCATCGGCTGCACCAACACAATCGAAAACTTCCCACTGCATGCGCCTACCTCTTTGGTTCAACACCCATCGTTACGACTCTTAATCCACAATTACATTCATTTGTAGTAATAATAAGATATACTGATTTCAACGATATTATCACTGCAAACACACAAATAGTTCACTAAGTGCAGATCGCACAGTCTATTTGCGAAGCGGATAGTTGTTGAAGCGGGAGAAGCGTTTCTCGCTTTGTAAAGGTCACAGAAATTTGGTTAGGCATCAGAAGGAACTGTCACGCAGCTAAATACGTACAAGTCTGTAACGAGATTTGCAAATGAATCCATAGAATTTGCGATAAACTTTCATAGGCGGTTAGTAGTCTAACGACGTCTCAGACGAACCATGCATCTTTCCGTTATACACGTTACGTTCCGGCGTCTCATACGCTGGTGACTGACCTGATCTGGCTTGGTTCGTCAGGCGCATTAGGTCTGACCCGGTGCCTCCCCGTACGTACCACGCTTCACATGGCTGACATCGAGGAAAACCCAAGCAGCCGGGCTCAGTCGATTCTGTCGAGGCCCGGATCGGCGCCCAGTGTCCACTCGGTACATTCCACACACTCACAGGACACAGCAAACAGCAGTTCCGCCACAAGCTCATCAGTTGGATGCGCCGTTACCCACGGCCAACAACAAGGCGGTTCGATTCCGGCGGGCAGTAAGGGGCCGCAAGGACGCGGCTTCAGCCATCAGCTCGGCTCATTGCCAGCACCGCAACCTGGTGGAGGTACAGCATCAACAAGAAGTTCGAAGAGCCCAGAATCAAGGGTAGCGCCACCTGCCGCGGGCGCAATTGCAGCCACTTCCGCTTCCAAGTCCAGGATACCCGTTCCGATGAGTATGGTATGGATCATAATCCCATTAGCTGGAGCACTGGACCAAGTTCGCTGATCTCAGCTAATGTGTACCACTGCCTGCGTACCATTCCCATGTCATCATCATCATGGTCCTGAGTTATTTCCCGGGATAGTTTATCTCAGGGATCGTAGAACGTGACATTTGTGTTGATTTCCTTGTTTTCCATTTTTAGTTCGGTTAGGCAAAAAATTTCCTCACAGAGAGACACATTCTAAGTTTTACGCGGTTTAAAATGGCATCATGATCTAATCTTAAGCTAAAAACTGAAGCCGGCAAGTCTAATCTGGATAGTTAGCAACGGGTCCACCTTTGATTGGTGCATTAACCCAAAAGTTACATTTCAGTTCTTTTGGCTTTCAATAGACAGTCGGCGGTGATAATACTAACATTTCGCTTAGGCAAGCATAGTTCTATTTTGTGTAAAAACAGAGATCTATCTATCATGTCCATTGTGCACATACAGATACGATTGTTAACCCACAGATCTATTTCAGCGAGATATCGTTCGTGACGTATTTTCATTTGAAGAGGTTCTGTTTGACGTCGTCACAATTAGATCCAACGAAACACCATAAAAAGTATTTGAATACACACAGGATTTTTGTTAAGCCAAACACATTGTTTACGTGTATTGCACGAATAGTTCCTGCATGCGTCGCACAACATCTAATTTTGCATACGAACATTTAACGGCATGTCGCTGCCGTTAATTAAGTTAACTATTAGTAGTAGGATTTGCTCAGTTCTGAGTTCTTGTTGTATGTAAACGGGTTGAATAGGTTCGTGAAAAGACGGAGAAAAGCATTCCTCTGAGCACGCAGCGCAAGCTCGCAGCCGATCTTGAGTCGGAGCGCTCGACACCCCTCGGTTCGAGACCAAGGACTTCTCAATCACGCCTTACTCCAAGTCGGTGCAACACGGTCATACCAACTAGTAGTATAATAATGAAGATAACGATGATACCTGTACTGATATCAAACAACAATAATAGATATCAAATGGGTTTGTTCAATGTCTTAGGCTTGGTTTGCAACAAAGGCTTAAATCGAATCGAAATTAATTCCTTGATTAACTGGCATGTCTTTGCATTAGGCCTAGGCGGCAGTCGTCCCTCGTCGCGTCCTGCCAGCAGGGCCAACAGCGACCTGTCGACCGAAAGCTTGGAAGGCTTTCGTCGCCGCACGCCAAGCGCCTCATCGGCTACAGGCACCCGCATTCCGACGCGCAGAACGCCCTCGATGACCCGCCAGAAGAGCGACTTACAGGCCCGCGAAAAAGGCTGGCGCTAATTGCATCAGTTCCTTTCAATGAATTACCTGCTGCTAACAGCTACCATCCTCCCGTAGACTGGGGACAGCCCGGCTGGCATCGTACTCCAAAACATTTGACAAACCCGCACGCACAGACAGCAGCAAAAATAGAGATGCCAACAATAACATATTAATAGTAGTATGGATAATACGAAAACTAATTATAAGTAACCATTAAACACATGCGCAAAAAGTTCGCTTAGGTGTAGAGTAATAAGCCAAACCGAAATCGTACGCTCAGGACGATAACGCCATTTCGGTGGCAACGAATATAGCTTTTTCACTTATAGAGGTAGAGCGAGAAAGACAGTAAAAGAAACAATAACAGACCCACACAAGTGTACGCTAACGCCACCTATAGATAAACTGATATACTAGCCCCCTCGTCAGGACCGAATGGGTGCTGGTAACAAAGTGTGATCGGGTTCTTAGGGGCGTCATTACTTCGGCGAAGCTGTAACAAGTAAGCTCTGTGATAACACCCAAATCCACTTTCTCCTCCAGCCTTTCCACTGTACAACAACAACAACAACAACAACAACAACAACAACAACAACAAACAACAAACAATGTTCTGCTTACCATTTTGGATGGCGTTCGATAAAAGATGACTACGCATTCACTCATAGGATGAAGCTTACATTACCTTAATTGCGGAAGTTTTAACAGTTACACGAACAACACGAGATCTATGATTGTGACAATGCATTAACGGATGACCATTTTAACGATGACAGTAAGTACAATTACGAACTGGAAGTGCAAATCCGTCAGGACCTATCGAACGAGACGACGTTCATCAGCCCGGTGGACACAGTCCGTCGTAGAGTTAACTTGACTTGCGAGGTCGAGTTGGGATTGGTAACGGAAAATTCTGTTAAGAAAATCACCTTAACATAATTTATTAAAGCCAGAAAGATATGCTACATCTGGCCAACGCTAGAACGGAGAAATGCAGCTCGGTTGATCCACCTCGATACGAATGGATACGGAGTGTGAAAGAGATATAGACCCTCATGTTTAGCTTTAATGTAGAAAAATGGGACGGTAGTGAGGTTAGGGTCCATATACGCATATGGAAACGAAAGGGGGTATATATATACACGTATATATACATCGGACTAGCACACTGAGCCTAGAGATTGTTTTCGCTAGCTAGCTAGCTAGCTAGCTAGCTAGCAGGGGCAGAAGATAAGGAAGCATTATGTGTCGCGTGAAAGATAGATGAAAGAGAGAATGTACAGTGGCGTAGCAGGGCAAAAGCAAACCAGCAAGCAAGGCTTCCGCGAACGGCCACGATAATGGTTTCTGATTGAAAATGAGAGAAAGGAAGGAAGTGCGATGCGAACCGTAATTACGAGAGGAGATCCGAGAGAAAAGTGACAGATGAAGCAATTCTACCGGACATCCCGATACGTTAAACGAAGACCAGGCCGAAGTCGGACCTACTCCGAAAGGTTGGGCTCCACCTCGATCTCCGCCGGCAGTGTAGAATCGACTTTTTATTGGAATCAATGGCGGAACGAAAGCTCCCTTGCTCAATCGCTTTCTCCAGGAGCCTGCGAGCGATGGGGATTTCGGGCACGTTCAGACTTTCGAAAAAAAAACTATAATTTGAAAACAAGACGATGGTAAGTTTTACTTCTTTTGAAAATATTCTCCGAGGAAAATCCAGTGTCCGCATGTAAACTAATGCTGTATTTGCTCACTGATCATATCTATTTTGATTGATAAACGCCTTTTACTTAAACATCAATATACGAAGATCAAGATTACACGAAGCTTGACGTGTCAAGGGCTAAGCGCTCACGAAGACGAAGGCGTATAATAACACTAGTCGAGACCATGATACTTGATTTTGGCAAACACCTCTTCGAAGGACTTCTTCTAATAATATGCTATACAGATGAAGATCAGATGAGAGTTGAGTGTATAGGAAGCGCGCGACGGTCGATAGGAGGCACTTGATGGATTGGGATGTTGGAAGAGCACTCCCTATGACATTCCCGTCTTATATACATTATATAATTGTAATAATAATGATATTGATGATAATTTTTCATGTTACCATTTCAACAGCCGCGCACTTACGATCGTTTTATTGGATTATAGTTAAGAAAATAGCAGTAATAGTGATGCTACGCGTAACTTTATGATGAAACGAGCGGTGCTTGGTTATTTTGGTGCCATCGTAAACTACTTGTCAATATCGACAGTAATAAACCGGAGATTCGCAAACACATAATAAATACTATCCATTCTGACGTCGAAATGTATGAAGACGTAGGGTATACTTTATAATTTTGTTTGCCTAGCAGGATTTACTTATAGTAAGTAAAATAATCATGAATTATCTTATTATATGAAAATGTAATGGTACGCGACAGAAGGTCTGGTCCGCGGCGAGAGTACGATGGAAACATACACTGCTGACGATCATGCACGAACAGGACCATGAACAAACAGGCGCCAATAGTACCAACACAGAAGCCGCTTATCAACAATAGGCAAAGCTAAATAGACAACGTCAACAGACGACAGGACAACTGTCATGATCAAATAAAGGCGATAGACAAAATGCTTGTTTCTTGATAATCGCATTGTACAACCCGCTTAACTTAAGGACCAAGGCGTCCAAACGACGAGGCTTAATCGAATAAATTTATATTAACAATGAAAAAAAAAAATGTTGTCCTTTGTATCATGAGAATATATATTGAGTTTCTTTTAGATCTGTTTAGAAAAAATTAGAAGTAAGATTGTGGACAGTCGGCGTACCAGCCAAACGATTAATTTTTTCGGGATATAAAAGCACCTCCTTATACGTCTTTGACACAAGTCAATGGGGTTAGACTTGAATTTGAGGTTTTTCGATTTTAGCACAATTGTAAGGTCTGCCACAAAACAGAATTTCTCTTAATATGATCTACATTCTTCAATGAGATTCATGAAGCACTGGGGCATAACTGTACAAATTTGGATACTTTTCAAACATTAAAGTACACTGAAAGCCGATAGCTTCTCTGGCAGATAAAATGGCTTCGAGAACCGCTTACGATAATAGTTAATCCAAGGCGAAAGAATCAAAACAACTTCAAATACCTAGAGACGTATCATCGCTTTAACAAGACATTTGAACGATGTTTTTGTCCTAAAATTACGAGATTGATGCAGTGAAAAAAATGCTCAATTCCTTTTTTCTAGCATGAACTCCCATCAAGGCCGACCGCTCCTGTCTGTCTGTCTGTCTGTCTGTCTGTCTGTCGGGGTAACCAGTGAATGCGCTGTGAGGTGACTCCTCTAGACGTCAACTTTCTTAGATAGGGCCGTTGTCGCTTAAAACTTAGCCCACAGTGGGCAGAAATGTTTAGTTCGGAGCTTGTCGGAACAGTGTTGTCCCTACCTAAGCAGGTATATCTATCGTTCGGAATGACGTTCGATATCAGTGCAGTTTTGATTGCCTCCATTACAAGATTAGATATTTGTACCTATAGGATTCTTTGGGCGTACAGTCGATCCCTGTGTGGACACATTGTGCCCATATATATATGGACCTCTAAACGTGAAATAAGCACGATCTTATTTAAACATGTATAGGAAACATTTCCAAGTAGGTGCCCTCAAGTCTTCCCAGTATCGTTCGAATC